TAAAATTCAACAGGTAATGTGTTAATATTACAAAACGATTGCCACAACAAAATGTAAAGAGTATAAATATACTTTTTATCACATTCCATGCAAGTAAAAGTATGATCTCTTTTATTTTGGTTTTACAACTTACTCAGACGTTTGACTTGCTGCCTTGCCTGTAGGATTTCGCTCAATCAATGTAGCCCCAGCTGCTAGTCTTTTTTTTTTTTTTGCTCGTTTCTTGTAGTTATTTTTTTTTTTAATTGTCACAACTGCAGTTTTTTTTTTTTTTTTGGTCCAAAATAAGTGTCTCTTGTTATTGAAAGGAATCGTAGCAGGAGCGTTATTTAAAAACAGATAAAATTGTAAATGCTGGCGAAAGGATGCTTGTTTCGGCTCCGTCTGTGTGAAAGCCATACCGATGCTGTTACCTTGGTTTCCTTTTAATGAACATTATGAAATGGTTGTATTAGCGCGTTAACTTGCGTTGATCTTTTTTTTTTCCGGTGTTTCGATTGAACAGGTGGGACTAACAGTAAAAACCGTGTAAGGTGCAGTATGCAAGTGGATGATTTCCTAAAAAAGATCACAGTTAAAAAGTAAGACACGCGCAAAAGTACAAAAAAATAAAAGAAGTCACTAGCGCGATTTAAACCCGGAACTTTCACGCCGCGACGACAAGTACCGACGCTTTAACCTCTCGACCATAGCAGAAAGCGCGAAGCGCCGGCGCCGGCGGAAGTATCTAAACATACTGCTACTGCTTCTAGCTCGTGTGGTTTTTTCTTTATTTTGGCTCCTCTTTACCTTCCCTGGCCGTAACTTTACCTGCCGCTCCTACAGTATAAAAGGGCGGTCAATTGGACTCCAGGGCCGGTTTTCTCGAAGCGATGGTAAACCCATTTTGGTAAACCACGGTGCCTAGGAAGGGAAAAGTACCTAGGTACTGTAATAAACGGCTGGATATAGCACAACAATAATTATTTTTGATTGGGCAATAAGATGCGCCATCTATCGGTGAAACAAGCCAGTCATATTGTTTATCCTCTTTTTCCGCTGGTTGTCATCGATCTAGTATGGTATTTTAAGTCAAAATATAGTAATGTTGTACATGAAGACCAATTTATTTGCTTCCAATGGTACGAAGAAATTTTAGTTACTATGCTAGAGTCTGTCGACGAATATTCGAAAATGTAAGAAACATTTCCTTCAATATGTTTCGCCATGAACAACGCCTAACTTTCCCGTGTTTCTTCCAGTCTGGCAACGCCAGGGCTGTAGTCTCGTTTTCGTTCCTTGCGACGTACGTTTCTGCGATTCCTGCTGATCTCAACTGTTTGCCCTCTCTTCCGTTTGCCCAACCGATTCACCGGTGACGAGAAGCTAAGCTTCTCGTCACCGTTGAATTGCTGGCCACCGGGGATATGTAGAAACCTCAATGCTGTCGGCGTACTGTCGGCGCACTGTGAACAAAAAAAACAGTACGTCTCAGCTGTTCACCCGGAACGAAGACTTTATTGAGGATAACCCCCTTTCTCCGCAAAGTAATCGCTGCTCACGAGTTGGCGTGCATAGTGTAACAAATTAAACGTCTTAGTATAAATATGTACCAACACTCGTTCGCAAAAATTTTTTTTACTCACCATAAAAACACTTGCAAGGCTTATGTACCGTTATATGTCTTGGATCCCGGACTGCTGAAGAGTGATGCGTTCGCGGAATGCTGCCGTCGGTTAGTTTAGTAGTCCCTCTGAACTACCGCTTTGCTTGACGTGCTAATAGGTTGATGGTGAGTCATTAATATAACAGCCAGATTGAAATGAATGTTCAGCAGAACCAAGCAGAACTATTAGCCCTCATTAAGCGACGCTGCGGCCATTTTGCTTCTAGGTACTGCTCTTCCCTCGGAGCCCCTGCTCTCCCAGTCACGTGACCTGGAATTCCCCCTTCTAGGGACAATAGTTAACTTTAAACCACGGTTCGCGTTCGAGAAAACAGGCCCTGTTGAAAGTCCCTGCAATCAGTTTCTGCGAACGAAATTAGGCCTTTGTGCTTGAGACGATGCGGATCACTCCGCCATTAGGCAGGGACGCTAGGTACTTCCTTGTCCCCATGGAGCTGGTCACGTGACATAAAAATCCCTCTTGGCCGCAGCCGCGGCCGCAGCCGCAAGATGAGCAAATTGGCCCAGGTGTCTCGGGTCTTCGCTGCGATACCAGTAGTGCCCAATATTCAGTTCCGAGTATCTGACGTTACCCGTGGTTGGGGCTCCGCGTTTTTTAAGAAATCCCGCGCTACCGCTCCTTCCGTATACTCCGTTCAACCTTAAGCTGAGACCGGAAGCTCCGTCTCGAGGGCGAGCACGCTGGCTTCCGCGGTGCTTTGCTGGAGCGCGCCTGCGCGTTCACAGTTGTGTCAGCCAGGGTAGAAAGCTCGCACTGAAGGCGGGGCTTCTAGTCTCAACTTAAGGGTGAACAAAGTTTAGTCGTGTGATGGTGGGTTCTGTCGTGCTATCGTGACTGCCATCCGTTCAGTTCGTCACCTTCCGTTATAGCGGTGTCGTTTTGGTCTTGGCCGAGCATAATACCTTCCGCAGCAGGCTCCTCGTCAGCCTTTGTTCAGGGTTTGCTTCGTTAGGGCGCATGAGGGGCAAAGCGTGGCCCACTGAGCGCACGCACTCGTGCACGTTCACTGTTGGTGGGTGCCGGGTCGCATTGTTGGACAGCTCGCAGCGGCACGATTCACGGTTCCGTCGGCTTGCCACATCGTGCATTGTGTTGGTCGGCCCCTTAAGCTGAGACTGCAGCCAATGCCACGAGCACGAGAGCTCGAGGTCGCTGTTTTGAAGCGTTCTCCCACAAAACGAGCGCTCGCACTAGAAATGCATGTCTCAAAGCCAGGAGTGCGGGCTAGCTCGCACTTGTAGCTTTGGCTCCAGTCCCAGCTGAAGGGTGAACAGACTATAGTTGATATGGCTACCAGATTGGTGTTGGAAGATGAGCGCCGTGTTTTTTCCTTTAGCTATCTGCACATCTCATTCGCTTTAATGAGCAGGCATATGCCGCCCTCTGCTTGGTTTGAAGAAAGCACCACCTTGTCGGCGGTTTTAAGCAAGGAGACCTCGATGGGTGTTTCGGTGATGTCATGGCAAATGAAAGGGACGACAAAGGCCTCGAAGAGGTGATTTGTCGTTGTATACTGCTCTCGCAGTCACAATCTTACCAATGCGAACTTCTGCCTAAACACTTCCGAATGTTGGTTTGGACATGATCGTAGATATTTAGAAATCCTGTATTATCCCCCTCCGACTTTGGCGTTGGCAGGTATCGGGGCCTCTCTAGATATTCACGTTAAATTATCTGCTTGTCTCCATCTCGATGGCATCCCTGTGGCACGCCGCTGTTGTGTGCAGTCCAGAGATCGCGCCGGCAGCTGATCAAATCAGTAGGAAGCGAATGTATTGAAACTTCTCGCTTCCAGAGAGCCTGGTGCTCTCTTTAATTAGCCTGATATAGGGTTTGCACATGTAAGTCCGTACATTTAAAAAACGCAATGTTCCAAGTTATTTTTTTTTCTGAAATGCGAAACTTGATCTTCATTTGTATGACTCTTATGTCAAAGTATTCGTTGGCTTAGATTCAACAGCTAATTAATAAAGTAAAGCTCACGCGTAGACGGGATGTTATGTTTAATATATAAAGGTTTTCGGAAACCTGTTGAATTTATTAACTTTAAAAAATTACTGTCAAATAAATACCTCAAATTTTTTCCGTGAAAATCAAAAGCTTATAAATACTTCCCTCCAAAAGTTTATACCGGAAGTCTTTGATCAAAACAATTTTTGTTGTGCCGACAGCCTAGCATAAAATTTCAGCTTTGACCAACTGTCGCTTCGACATGCACTCTAAGCCTTGTAAGAAGTAGACTTCTATCAACCTGCAAATATTCCTTAATTTTAATTTTGAAGAAGAAAAAAACTCGCATAGACCGTAGGGAAGTACATACAGTTACCTAAAATATCTGGTAACGCAAGTTCAGGAGAATATTTCACAACCGAAAAGCTCCGTTAAAGCGGGTTACAACAACACTCTTGATCCCTAGCTTTTTGTTTAACGTAGTATTGAGAAACCCGTCCTTGTTTACAGCTTTCGTCCATAAGCGGCACGACCGAATATTCTTGACAAAGCTTACTGCATTGTGTCCCCTTTTCTTGGCGTCGAGGTAGTGGCGGCATGCGGAGGGTGCTAGGTGTGTTTCGCGGTGTGTGGAGACCACTCAAGCACCAAGCCTTTTTGTACAGCAGCAGCTCGACAGAACGTAAAATAACTGGACGTGCTGACAGCTTCGTTCAGATAGTCGCACCAGAAACCTTGAAGTATTTTTCCGAAAAGTGATACAGCACAACTGGCCCATTGTTCCCAAGCAAAAAACAAGTAGCAGAAGGCTCTTAGTCCTATCAATAACATTCGGTACCCGACTTGTGGACAAAAACTCCAAATGACCCTCATTTTTACGTTTAACGATTTGCTAAGCTTCAGAAGAGATCATCTAACCTATTCTAACCTTGCTTTGTTGTCACAGTAAGTGTTCTTGAGAATTGGCAATATTATATATTCTACACTCGTATGTAGTGCTTCAGTGCTTTTTGTCGGAAAATCTACGGGCGTCGTGACGATTCACTTTTGGCTACGCTTCATTGGCCCTATAAGGTGGTAATTTTGGAGGTGTGACGATCGTGCGGGCGACAACGGTGCGACGATTCGGACTACATGGCGGAGTATAGACCGTTGCATCGCTTAACAACCCGCCGAAAAATGCTGAGTGAGTGAGGTGTGGATGCGTGCGCAGCGTCCCATATGCCGCACCATAAAGCGACAGCGCATGCTCCGAAGGCGTTCCACAGCCCAGCAGACAAAGATGGTAGCGCGCAGAAGGCAATTTTTGCAAAGGTCTATAATCGAAATGCGGCGTAGCAGAGCCGCATTAGACTCCAATGCTCAGTTGTGCAATCGCCTTACCCGAATGGCACCAGCCGTCTTTGTCTCTGAATTCGGAGGTCTTCTCGGGACACTTGTAGTAACCTCTCATGGAGCATGGGCTCTTGTAGCACAGCTCTCCGGGGACCTCGGGACCAATCGGCTCTCCTGTCTCGATGTCGACGAACTAGAGGAAAAATATTGCGCGCGATAAATGTCGATATTTCTAGTTATCGAATTTGACCATACTCTAGGTGAACTGTGGCATGTTCAAGGAAGCTACGAAGCTTCAGAACATATTGCGCAATATCAATCACACTCCCTCAAAAAAGTGGTTGTTCTTGTGAATACTTAAAAGGAGACTATAGTAATGACCTTGGGATATACAGAATCCAAATCGACTCAATACTTATAACAGACAGAGCTCTTCCCGACGCAAAGAGTAAAGATATTCGACTTTTTTTTTTACGTCTATACATATATCATCCGCGGTTCATAATCTACGGTTTTGGGATCACTAACTCATAGTAATGTACCTGAAGTGCGTTCTTTACTGGTGTGTTTACCGCGTTCTTAAAAGTAGTCCCTCAATTTCCGCTAGATGACGTGAAGAATTACGCTGCTGCCTGCCGCCACCCTAGCACAGCAGCAGACGTGGAGGCGAAAGAGGTCTGCTCAGCTGCAGGTCGTTCTGCAACCAAACAGTCGATGGAAACGAAAGCAAACATCAGTTAAAATGTTGCAACCAACGACAACGACCCTTCCGTCCGCTCGCCTTTCTGCCAACATTTCTAAAACCAACCGGCAGGATCGCGACATCCGAAAGCATGACGCACTGGCTCCTGAGAGACAATTTGCGGTCACTTCTGGACCACGTTTGATGCATGGGCGGGATGGTGACAGTAAACACAGCAGTCAAAAGCGTTCCTGACACCGTAATTATTGTAAGGCTTCAGTCACCTTGATTTGGACCATCGGAGCCGGGAAGCCCATGCTGCGAAGATCCATCTCGTCTGAAGGAGGGAAAAAGACGAGGCCGCAAGATTCCGATTGCGAATAATTGTTCCTCAGGCAACGCAGGTCCCTAAAGACCGTCATCAGCGCCTTGGCGAGCACCTCGCTGGGTGCAGTTCCGCCAGTGTTGATCTTCCGGACAGAGTTGAGTTGAACTCCAGTGCGGCGCATCTCGCTGGTGAAGTACAGCAGTTGCGTTGGAGAACTGGAAATGGTTGTCACCTAAAGGACGTAGGTTAAAAGAAGAGCGTATCAATGGTCCTAAAATTCGAGCAGTTGAAAAAATAGAGCAGTTCTGTTCCAACATAAGAACATGTTCCAATCGTAATACCTGCGTGGATGACCATGTCACTGTGTTCTACGGAAGGGTTTTAAAAAAAAGTGCTTGTCCTGGTTTTAATTCAATGAGGAGGGCCTCTAAGCCGGACACGTATTTATTTATTTTATTTATTTATTTAAAAGTTCCCTCGGAGCCCGAAGGCATTACGGAGGGGAGCGGTTTGCATCACTGGAATTCAACAACATACAATAAATAACAACCTATGAATGCAAAACAATATATACATATTAGTAGAACGCTGAAATGTGAACATTGTAAGGCAATTTTTGAAAGCGGCATTGTGAGATATTGATACCACAGACGCTGGAAGGTGGTTCCACAACACTGTGGTTCGGGGTATGAATGAATTGTGAAAAGTAGTAGTGTTACATGAACGTACACCCATCTTGTGTTGGTGATCGAGACGGGGTGATATGTAAAAAGGAGATGCTAATAGCTTGCCACGCAAAGTATGATTGTGGTAGTAGATTTTGTAAAACAGGCACAAACGGAAAACTTCTCTACGCGATGCAAGATTAGGCAGGTTGAAACTTGATTTCATGGATGTTACGCTGGCAGTGCGGTGATAATTAGTACCTAAGTATGAATCGGACGGATCTATTTTGAATTGCCTCAACTGCAGATGTTAATACGTCAGTACCGGGGTCCCAAATTGAAGAGGCATATTCTAGTTTAGTGCGAACAAGTATTTTGTAAAGAAGTAGTTTAAACGATGAGGGGCTGCTGAATACTTTCGTTTTCAAAAACCCAGCATACGATTGGCGTTACTTGTTGCGTATTGAATATGAGATCCACAGGACAGATGGGATGAAATATGAACTCCCAAATATTTGTAGGTTGTTACTTGTTGTAAAAGAGTATGGTTCAGGTAATAACAAGAGACATCAATGTGAAGCCGAGAAACCCTCATTACCTTACATGTGTTAATGTTAAGCTGCATACGCCATAAGTTACACCACTCAGTACACGGTCAAGGTCACATTGAAGGGAAGAAACATCGGACTTAGAAAAAAAGTCGACGAGACTTCTGACCGTCGCGATTGGCCAGCGCCGCGCTTGACATTAGCGCTAGCAAATTAGTGCGGCAGAATACATCTCGCCAACTTTCTCGCCCAGTGTCCAAATTAGAGCCCCAGGCAAGCATAATTGCAGTAATCACAATCGAATTGTGAACACAAGCGGCAAAGCATTTGTTCACCAAAACTTAGAATTCCATTTCGTCACTGACTACAGAGATAGACGCTTAGCTCTACAAAGGTCTACCAAATGTTTGGACTTTTTAGAGCCAGCGCACGTTATATATTTTTTACGATTATATCGACGCAGCTGTGATACATAAGTTTGATATAATAATCGCTTACGTGAAACGCCAAGTTTCTCTAAGTCTGAAGATTATGGATACCTATCATATCCTGTCAGAAGACGTTGCTTACACAAGCGGGAAGCTTTTTGTTTCCAGGTTTTGGTTTGTGACGCTATGACTGTTTTAGCCCCAAAATAACTACTCAAGCGAAACACGCAGCTGAAATTCTCACAGTCTAGCGTAAGCAAGTAATTGTGCATGTTTAAAACGTTCAGTATATTCAGACATAATTAATGAAGCAGAACTGAAATTGACTTCTAATGCTTCATGGAACCACACCAACAAAAAAAAATGGATGCTCGTTTTAGTCATTCTATATTTCCTTGATGCAATTCCGCACCGCCGGTGTTCTCACCCTACATTTTTCATACTCGATCATTTCTTAATGGAACTCATGTTGTTTTGTCCTAGAGAATAAAAATGGCCAACTAAATGTTAGCTGGGGCTTGGAACAGATGCCAAAGTTTCAGAACTAACCGCTACCTTATTAAAAATAATAGATGATTTTCTGAAACGTTCTGCAGTAAAATGGGGCCCCTTTTCGGTTGTCTTCGACTTTCAGCCCCACGTGTCCATCGTCTTCGTCGCCCACCCCTTTACCATTGAAGATTTTCGAAAATCGCTTACAACTTGTTAGTAAGATAACGATTTGTCCTAAAACTTTAGCATATGGTTCGGACCGACAGCCCTACATTTGGACAGAGTCTGATCGATCGACGATGCGTTCTTTAATTTTTTAACTAGAAAAAACACCGTACACCTTTTTAGGAACACCGTGTAGTTTACTGGTGCGATTTGCCAAATTCTACCGATATGGCATTTTGATTCACTGCCGGTACATCGCGCAACATAAATGTACCTTAATAAATACTATAACAGCGTAGCTAAAGATGAATTCCGAAGTACCTGAAATTCGTTGATGACCTGAGCGAACCGATCAAACATCATCATAGGACTGACGACGACGCAAGTTGATCCGCTGCAGGCCGCACTCATGATAAACTGGAAGCCCGATGCGAACGTCAGAGGGTAACAAGCCAACAGGACGTCTGCTCCCTCGTCCGTCATGCAGGCCCTGCAGGTGCAGAGGTGCACTCATTAAAAAAACTACACAAGAAGCCGTGATCTGCGATTAAAATAAACATCTGTAGAAAGTGACACCTTTACGTACACATTAAAAATATTGGCGTTCAAAGGAAACATTTCAAATGCAAATATTTTTTAATTCTAATATGAGTCTCATTTCCCCATCATGTGAATAATAAAATTCACACTAGCCAGCTCATGCCGACAAACACTGGAAAGTACAGAATGCGTAGTGAACGAGCGGGGCACAAACTAGGTGTGTGTTCGACATTACGTGACGTCATGAGGTCACGTGACGTTACTGTGTCATACCGACGTCACGTGACGCAACGTAGTCACATGACTGTGACGTCACTCGGCGACATGATACCACGTGACACCACATGACGTCATGCTGTCACCTGACATCACGGTGCCACATAACGTTATGGTATCTCGTGACCTCACGACATCCCAGAGTCAAGTGACGCCATGATGTCATGTGACGTAACAATGCTACGTGACGTCATGATCCTTCGTGACGGTTTTTTATATTGTTCTTGGTAATGGTTAAAAAAATCGGTTTTATAATAGAGCTCGTAAAATATGCTAGGGTGATCAATAGCTCTTGCCCCCTAGGCTGTAACTGTTTTATTTAGTGACGAAATTGAAAGGAGGTCACATTCCAAGAAAGGTTTCGGATCTCCTCATTCCCGGGAGCACGTAACTTCTCAGCGTAGACCCTCGGCGGCGAAGGGTTTCCGCTACCGTTGAACTACTCTCCGTATGCGGTCGAAGACAATTGAGGGCGGGTGTTGACGAGACCAACGCCGCGCTGTAGAAGCTGCAGTTCTAAGACGTTTTGCCTCATTCACCTGACAGCCCGGATCTCGCACAATCAAACTTTTGGCTGTCTTCCAAGAAACAAGGAACATCTGAAGGGTGTACGGTTTGCGTCTGATGACGAGGTTACCGTGCAGGGCGCCGTTGCCGTTGGTGTCGTCAACAGCCGCGATCAATCATCTACGACGGCGTGCGGAGGGTTGTGCATTGGGAGCGGAAGTGCGTCATCGCCGATGAGGACAATTTTGAAAAGTTATGTGCACCTGAGAAAGAGGAGATTTCAAACTGTCGTTCTAATGTAACATCTTTAAATTCCATCACTGAATTAAAAAGTTACAGCCTACAAGGAAAAACGCATTGACCATCCCCTATTATGTTAAAAGGTAGATGAAAGCATTTGCAGAGCCCTAAACGTTGCGATAACCTGGTCTGCGCACGGTAGTGTGTGCATCCAGCATAGTAGAGCCTACCGGTGCCTGACTGATTGCCACTGCCTCCTCTTCGAAGCACAGCAGGTAGAGTAATACAAAAAAAATAGCTATTCAGTCAGCAAAATAGAAACACCTGCATTCAACTCTTCTCCGGTACAGGGGAAACTGATCATTGTGATCTACAGAAAATGTCAGCGAATCGCGAAACCATTTTTTTTTTAATCTGCAATCTAGTTCAGAGGTTGGCAACTGGCGGCCTAAGGGCCGCATCCTGCCCGCGTGGGAATATACGGCCCACTGCCCGGCACCATACTCACCTTTCTCGCCTTCCACGTCCCCCCAAATATACTAATAAAAAGATATCGCGAATGCGACATGTGTTTATCTCATAGTTAGCTGTCTAATAGCTATACTCGGGATCAACGTTATGTGGCAATGAAGACAAAGCTAGGGGGCAACGCTAACGACTCCGTATGATTGCGCAAAGTAGTTCCAAATGAGCTAGAGGGGCTATAGCAATGAACTGGGATCTCGCCAACGAGGTAGAGGGACTTAGAGTAATAAACCAGAAGTTCTAAAGTGGCACCCCCCCCCCCCCCCCGGCCTGCCGCCATGTTTTACGCAAAACTGACCAGCCGTCACGTGACCTCACAAGAGCCGTGACGAGACCGGTAAGATGCCATCGCCCAGAGCTGGCGGATGAGAGTTTGTTCGGTGCGACGGTACCCGTGACGATCGTGATGTGCCGCTGCCTTTCGACGATATCGGGCTTTTTCGTGCCCTCTGACACAGGTATAATGTGAAGATTTGAAGGAATGACACTTTACACACCTTTTGGGCAAGATCGCTCTGGGTCACCTGGATATTTACACCTATGAGACAGCATCGGCTGTATCGCCGTACCGGTGCTCGGATTCCCGAATCTGTTCGAGGATCGATGGAACTTCATGCTTTTAGCATTAAATTTTCACATTCTCTTAGCTTCCTTTGAACGTTGGAACGTCCGAGAATCGATGCGAAATGTATGCGTGGGAAGTAGGGCCCAGGGGAAGTTGTTTTAGCCCTAAGTAACCGCACAATCACGGCAACTTTTAGCGAGGAAGCTCCTGCGATATTTAACCTGGTGTGCTAATCGACGATTATACAAATTGGTAGTTCTCAAGATTTTCATATAACGTGCTTTCATTCGATCGCAGTAGTCTTTTTAAGTGAAAAGCTGGTGTTTGTTTAAGTGAAGTGCACGCACACTGTTACAAAGCGTTCAAACCAGTCATTCTGAAGAAAGGTCATTACGAACGTTTATAAAACAGCTCATATATCCTCTTGAAACTCAAACCACAGTTAGCAATTCTTCACATTTTTGATTGATCAGTGCACAAAATGTTGTATTCGATCTCCTTTCAAAATTAGTATTAGTAGGCTCTTTACCTTGCCGATCAATATCAATAGTTCACAGTAACGTCTATGTGTATAATCAGACTCGTCTTAGATTGTTGTCTAATCCATCATCCTAACATCTAGGATCTTTTTAAAAAATGCAGCCCCACCCTTTAGATGTTCAGAGATAGCACCACACATGTCATCAATTCGTTAAATGCAATGAAGCTCGGAATCGGAAGATTAACTGCACATTTTTATCTTTCGTAGGATTTATTGTAGCAATATTGCTTTTCATCAAGAGTGCACTGTATTAGTCGGTCAATTATTTACTTCGTCTAATTACCTGGACAAAATGACTCGTATTTGTGTTCATCCCTTGCCCGAAGAGCAGTCTTGTTACAAAATGTTGACTACCATTCCTTTCAGTTTCTTCAACAGACCTTTTTTTTTTCTAAAGTGTGGGCCGCCTATACATTGTTTCACCGTAAGTTGTTAAAGAGCAACCGCCACAGCCCCCTCGAGCCAATCAGAGAGACGTGGTGGAGGTATGCGATAAATCTCTGCAGAAGGAGAACACTCTGATGATGTGTTGTCACATGCCTCTCTCCAACGTGCATATGGGCTCACTGCCTTCGCCGCTTGGCAAATTGCGATGAAATGAATTACAGTAGCTACTACGCCAATTACCCAAGGCCTTCATACTTCGGGCATTTGTTTGACAAGGATGTTATGTCAGCAATCACTGTGAAGTCGTCTCAGCGTCTATTGGACTCGAATGCTACATTAGCGTTCGACGTGAACTGGGGCCCATTTACGTGTTTTACGCCGAAAAAAAAATGGTGACAGTCAATGTTGCTTGATGGGGTTTTGCACAGGGTATATTGTGTTATACGTATACTAAATGTTCTGCTATATGACAATGCATTAACGCATTATATTAAACTAGATGTTCACAAATGTGATCGTCTTTGTAATGAACAAGTTACAGCAATAATTATTTCTTAGAAGTGTAATATTTATTTTCAGTTGCTGGGCCCGTTCTCTGCTCATTAATGTCAGTGTGCTATGATGGTATTATAATGTGTGTTTAGTTTTAAATATCTTCTATGCAATGCCTACAGGGGTCCCTGAAGGAATTAAATAACAAAGCAACATTTTCAGATCACTGGAGTTTGTTTTCGGGTGCACCATATGTTCAGGAGAGGTGGCAAAAGTGCAGCCACATGCAAAAAATCTGCCATTATGATTTGTTCCATTTATTAATATTAAAGTGTCAGAGATGCGAGTGTCCTCAAAAGCTCCACCGCATGCAGTGAACACAATTCTTGATGTGTAAACTCTGAAGGCGAAAAGGACTGTGAATATTACGCATGCTTGGTTAGTATATCGAATATGTTTATTTCCACTTGATTACATAATTATTTATAATTGTCAAACGGTTCCTTAACAAGTTCTTTCTGCGACAGTCTCGCGTCAGGCGTTCAGCCGTAGTACCTGCGTTCCTTGTTGTCAGATGTCTCTCCTGCCACGTCGGTGTTCAGTTTGGTCGAGTGGCGACTTTGACTGACTGATGCCACCTAGTGATCATACGCCCTGTGCCGCCACTGACATTTGACGCTCTGAATCTGCAGGGCTGGCTTCTAATCTACACATTTTTCTGGCAGTTTTCTGCGTCAATGTAGCGAGCTTGTGCATGTATTGCTTAAGTGGTTGTATTTTTTGCTGTATCGTTGAGTTGATGGCTCGCAACAATGTTTGTTTGCTATCAAAGCCACTTCACTTCCATTCCGCAATGGTTATTTCTTCTGCAAGCCGCGACCACTGCAACTTGTGTAAGTCTCGTGTGGCAAAGTGAAATCTGGTGATGCTTGGTGTTGAGTTTATGAGAACGACCAACCATTTTATTTCTTCAAGCTAGACAGATGCATTCTTCCTCGAAGTTAGAAATTGTGTGGACAAAATAATTGATGTCGCCAATTACTGTTTCCATTGCACGACGACCGACACCAAATCAGCTGCCATTGCATTGCAGCCAAGCTGCTTGGCCGTGCTTAGTGTAGAAGCATGTGTCATGCTAACCTCCCGTCGAGGTGATAGGAATCGAAAGCCTCGGGATAGTGTCGGCACCAGGGACAGAGGCTGCCAACAATACTTCTTAATGTCCCAAGGTTGCTCCTCGGTACGTGGTCAAGGGTCGTTCGGCACGAACCCTCGCAAGCCAATTCATCGGTACGGGCACCCCCGGTAGACATGTCGGCTTCACGTAGTGGTAGTAAAGTGGTCGTAGGTCGGCCGATTGCTCAACCTCCGTCTTCCTCAGTGTAGTTTATTCAGTGCGGACCTAGACTGGTTCTTC